TCTCTCCACACGGGAGCTGCTCCAGCCCCTGATCATCCTCGTGGCCACCTCTGGACTTGCTCCAGCAGCTCCAGGTCCTTCTCACATTGAGGACACCAGAACCGTACCAAAAGCACCCTTCCCAGATCCCTCTCCTCCCACCTAGGCTCTCCCTGCCCCTGCCCCAGGTGACTCACTGAGCTGCTGGAAGAGCAGAGCCGTGTCCTCTTGGCTTTACGGAGGGGACTGGATGGCACCTCCATGCTCTCCCCCTGCCCCATGCTGCGGGTGATGGGGCGGCTTCTCGGCGTGGGACTGGGCACCTCCAACTCACTGCGGTCCATGGGGACGGGAGAGTCCCAGCCCCGTGGTGGGCGAGAGATGGCTGGGGATGGGCTCTTCTCGTGCTGTCAGTGGGGAAAGAACAAGGAGTTAAAAGAGCTCCTCTGGTCACCAGCATGTCTTCTGCTTGAAGGGGACAGGGAAACCCTGCCCAGCTCAAACAAGAGATCGAAGCCTGCTCAGCCATCCTGCAGGAGCTGTGCCACCCTCCCTTCTAGTGCCACACCAGACATCTCAGATGTGTCTAGTTGGAAACAGAATCATAGAATGGTTCGGGTTGGAAAGGACCTTAAATATCACCCAGTTCCAACCCCTGCCACGGGCAGGGACACCTTCCACTAGAGCAGGTTGCTCCAAGCCCCTGTGTCCAACCTGGCCTTGAACACTGCCAGGGATGGGGCAGCCCCAGCTTCTCTGGGCACCCTGTGCCAGCGCCTCAGCACCCTCACAGGGAAGAGCTTCTGCCTTATCTCCAACCTGAACTTCCCCTGTCTCAGTTTGATCCCATCACCCCTTGTCCTGTCACTACAGTCCCTGATGAAGGTCCCTCTCCAGCACCCTTGTAGCCCCCTTCAGACACTGGAAGCTGCTCTGAGGTCTCCACACAGCTTTTCTTTTCCAGGCTGAACAGCCCCAATGTTCTCAGCCATACATGGGTGATATGGATATATCCCAACTCAGAGCACCTCCAGCTACACAAGCTCTAGGATGCTGGTTGGAAAGGCCCTTTTTTTTCCCTCCTACAGGAGGGCTGAGTGAGGGGAGGACAGTGAGCAAAGGGTAAGGGCAGAGGCAGCAGCAACGCACCTCTGTTGGACGGTGCCTATAGCTGGAGACACGGCACCAAAACAAGCCTCTTTCGAGGCAAAACTACATCAGTCTTGAGTCGTGTGTGCCCCTCATCACCCAGGCTCCCTGAGCTCACTGGGCCATACCTGCTCGGAGCCTGCAGGGAGCATGTCCTGGCTCCGTGTGAGCATCCTGCGCGGAGACGTGGGCAGGAGCGGGAAGCGCTCAGTGGCTGCGCTGCTGGGGCTGCAGGAGTCCAGCTCCAGCCCCACAGACTCCAGCTGGTGAAAGCTCCACAGTCCCACCTTCCTCATGCAGCGGGAGCAGGAGATGACAGAGAGGTGCACCGAGCCCGAGCCAGCGCTGCAGGGGCAGAAACAAGGCCGGGGAGAAGGTCAGGGATGAACCCGGGCCCCGGATCGCCGCTTTCACAACAGATGCAGGTATTTGGCAGAGCACAGGGATGGTTTCAGTTGCCAGCACGTTTCAAGGCATCAGTACCCCTGGGTTGAGGCACAGACTTACTGTTTTGTGCCAAGAAGTAAAAAATACCCCATTAACCCCATCTATAGCATTGATTTAAACCAGCTTGGTTACATTCTGGCTTGCCATGAAGCAGGAGCACACTCAGGTATGGCACATCATACAAGTGTCCCCATCCTCAGCCCCTAAACTGGCCCAGCCACGGTGGCAGCTCTGCTCTTCCCCACTGTAAACCCTTTTCCAGCCTGCACCATAAGAGATCTCTTCACCTTCAACAAGCTGCCTCAGGCCCAAACACTGTGGCTGTTCTGCTCACAGCTCTGGGAAGCTGCAAAGCTTCAGGTCCCAAACCTTCCCTCCCTCCTGCAGGCCTGATGAGCAATGGAAGTGTCACTGAGGATGACATTACAGGAAGTGACTTCAACATCTACATGAGCAGCAAGGGGGCAACCAGCAGCTTGGTTGTTTCAGACTTTTGCTGTCTCAGGGAGACATCCATTTCAGATTAGGGAGCTTTGCACTGGGGCTTCTGGAAGTCCATCAGTTTTAACAGCTGGAGATAGTAGAACAGTGAAATAGAACCATGGAATGGTTTGTGTTGGAAGGACCTTAAAGCTCCTCCAGCTCCAACCCCTGCCACAGGCAGGGAAAACTTCCACTAGAGCAAGGCTGGCCTTGAACACTGCCAGGGATGGGGCAGCCACAGCTTCTCTGGGCCCCCTGGGCCAGCGCCTCAGCACCCTCACAGGGAAGAGCTTCTTCCTAATCTCCAACCTGAACTTCCCCTGTTTCAGTCTGAACCCATCACCCCCTTGTCCTGTCACTCCAGTCCCTGATGAAGGTCCCTCCCCAGCATCCTTGTAGCCCCCTTCAGACACTGGAAGCTGCTCTGAGGTCTCCAGCAGCTTCTCTTCTCCAGGCTGAACAGCCCCAATGTTCTCAGCCTGGCTCCATACAGGAGCTGCTCCAGCCCCTGCTTATCCTCGTGGCCTCCTCTGGACCTGCTCCAACAGCTCCATGTCCTGCTGATGCTGAGGACCCCAGAACTGCACCCAGTGCTGCAAGTGGGGTCTCACCAGAGCAGAGGGGCATAAAGGGGACAGTGAACATTTCACAGGAGGAACAGCCACATCCCACCAGCCTCTGACACGCCTCCCCTGCAACCCCTTCAGCACCAGTCCTACAGCACTACTCACCTGCAAGTCCAGCCACATAGAGCCAGGATGCAGGCAGGAACCTGCACTTGCAGGGCTTCTGTGGCAAACTTCACTGCTGGTTTCTCTCCCTCTGGTTTGTGCTCCAGTTCCTCCCCAATCAGCTGGAGGAGCAGACTGATCCTCTCCTCTGTCAGGGACTGTGGGGCAGAGAAAGGGGGCAGAGCTGAGGCAGTCTCTCCCAAATTGTGTCCTACATGGAGGAGAATCCCTTTTTCTCTCCCTGGAAAGGCTGGTCAGCTAACACTCTGCTCTGGTTAACAGGCAAAACAGTGTGATGGCTCCCTCCTGCCTTGTGTCCCTCTGACTCTCCCCATTGTGTGTCCCTGTTCAAGCTCAAGCCTCAACACCCCTCATCCATCCCTCTGATCCCAGGGAGGCAGCAGGGGCTGTGTTTGCCTGTCCTCAGGTGAACCACGAGCACTTCTGGGGCCACTGCTGAGACACAGCAAGAAAAGAGAGTCCCCAAAGGCTCAGACAGGCTCCAGACCTTGCTGCTGGGGAGTTAGATGTGGAGATGAGATACGTCCATTGCCTTTATGCTGCCTCTCCTCAGAAGGCTCTGATGGGTTTCATAGCTCAGCCAGCCCATAAAACAACCTGAATGGATGAGGAGTTCCCTGGTTCCCACATGGAGCCATCTGTTTCCCAGCAAGCAAGTGCCCAACAAGCCAGACTTGGCTGGAGTAGAACAGGGCCTGGCCAGGTCCCTATGAGAAGGCAATCCCACACTTGCTCCTAGTTGTAGCTGCGTGCCAGCTTCTTGTGTCACAGCTCCTGCTCTTCCCTCCTGCCTGCTGAGCCCCCTGTACCACACTCCCTGGACTCCTTCACCTCCAGGGGCCTCTGCTCACACCTCTGCTCCAGGGCAGCCTCTGGCACCCCAAGCTCCCGATCCCACCTGCAGCAATGAGCGTGTCCAGCCTCGTGGGATCCCAGCTAAACGGCTGCCACAGCCCATGGAGTGCTTGGAGGTAACAAACAGGAATGGGAGAGCTCCTTAAGGAGTGTGTGGGACCCCAGAGCACTTTTGCCAGGCACCAGAGAGCACCACACACGCTGAGTGGGAACCTGACGCTACAGCCCACTTCTCACTGGCAACATCATGGTGACATGAGCCAGCTGTGCCTGCACTGGTCATGGAAGAGGAGCTTTTCCAAACACTCTTTTCCATGCTTCCAGGTGAAACCCCCATGCAGGGAACACACAAGGAGAAAGCCATGGTGATGACACACCACTCACATATACAAGAAGTCTCCCTTTGGATCTCTCCACTGTCTCAGCCAGGCTTTGCAGAGCACGGGGGTGCCTGGCACCCTCACTGGGGACTTGAATGCACCCAGATGGGAACTCACCATGTTCTTCATGTCCTCTGGCCTGAGGGAAGGCAGCTGCAGCTCCAGCTGACACAGGCTCTGAAAGCGCTCCAGGAAGTCCTGGAGAAGGGCTCTGGGCTCATCCACCAGCAACATGGCAAAGCGATCTGGTGAGGGCAAGCATGGGAGGCCTGAGCTGTGCCACCAGCCCCCCCCACCTCCTGATCCCACGGGACAAGAGGGATGAGCCCAGGCCTCCCCATAGCAGCCTCCTGCCTTTTAAAGGAGGAGCTGAGCCCTCTTCCTTTGCCACCACCCTTGCAGTACGGCTTTGAAGATGAGCTCTGTGGCACTTTGAGGGCCCCATGTCACCCAGACCCCCCGTACCCTCCCAGTTACAACCCAAAAAGCATTTTAGCTGTCCTAGAGGCACACAAAGGTTGAGAAACTGGGTACAGCCCAGCCTGGGGCTCAAGCCATGGCTCAGAGGCTGCTCAAAGACGTCACTTTGCCACTGTGTGTTTTATCATCCCCACGGGGAAAAGGGGACTGTGATGACTGTTTCCTTTGGCAGCCTGAATAGTTACCATAATTCCTACAAAGGAAGACATGAGCAGTGACAGAAAGGGAGGAAAACCAGGGAATAATGCTGGATATGGGCTCTGAGACCTGAGAGAGACACCAACCTGGGCAGGGGCTGTCTGGCCAGAAGCAGAACTTCTCATGAGCAGAGCACAAGGCCTTCTTCAGCTCCACGCAGCGCTCCTTATCTGCAAGGCAAAGCTCATTCCTACTCCCCTGTGGAGCCACCTCCTCAGGGAATGGTTGGGAAAACCAAACCAGGAGGGGAAGGCACCAGGATGCAAAGGCTTCCCTGCTCCTCCTGGGGGATGGATACCACCTGAGGCTGCAGGTTGTAGGGCCTGAAGGTCTCACCTCAGACTCATCTCCCTCCCCACCAAAAGGAGCTGCTGCATTTCCAGACTCCCTGCAGGCAACCACAGAGCACTGGTTCCTGTGGCAGAGCAATTCCACCTCCCTGCAGCCAAAATCCCTTCCCGTTCCCAGGCACGGCAACCATGGAGCAGGAGAGCCCAGCAGTGCAGTGGAAACAGCTCAAACCATGGGCACGGGGACTGCCTGCTCTTGCCAGTTTTACCTCTTAGGGCTGCTACCAGTCCTCAGCTAACCCCCCTGACCCCTCCACCCTGGGTCATATTTGGCTGCAGGAGCCAAATCACATCCATGTCTGGAAATCAAGCTTCCCCCCCAAAATATTACACACTTAATTTAACTTATTCACCCATTTCAGAACCAAGTAATTCATTTTTAATGTATTTTCAAGCCCTTCCTTCAACCTCTGATTACTGTTTTCCTAAACCAGTGTGATCAGCACAAGAACTAGGCCAAGGTTTATGTAAAAAAGATAGTCTGAACAAACAGATGTCGATATTCAGAGTGAGCCAAAAGGAAATGCTCGTGCAACTCCCACTACCCATGGCCCAGGCTGCATTTGACAGCAGGGATTTGCTCTCTGCTGCCTTCCAGATAACAGGAACAGGGACTTGCAGTCAGGAAAACTGAGAAGTGGAGGTGACACTTGGTTCTGGAGGGGAAATAAATGTCTTTCTGCAGAGGGCAGATGCAGGTAAAGGAAAGTGAAGGTCTGGGCAGATGATGAAGCACAGGCTTTATCATCACTATCCTGTGGCTCAGGAGCATTCCATGGAGGCTGGAGTTCCTGCTGCTCTCCCTGCCCCATGTTGTCCAATGTGGGAGACACAGGAGCTGTTACTGCTCCCTGCCTGAGCCTCACAGTCAGGACAGTGCTTGGCAGGCAGGGGAAGGAAACTGGGCCTGGGCAGGGAGCTCAGTGAGGGCAACAGGAGGGGGAGGTTTACTGCTGGTAGCCCAAATAGGTCATAGGATGGTTTGGCTTGGAAAGGACCTTAAGATCATCCAGCTCCCCCCCCTGCCACGGGCAGGGACACATCACACTAGAGCAGTTGCTCCAAGCCCCATCCAATTTAGGAATTTTACTATTCCTAAATAGTGAAGTACTATTTAACATCTGGACAGCCCTGAAGTGGTCAGGCAGTTGGTCAGAGAGCCCTTCCAACTGGAGCTATTCTATCTTAACCTATCTCTAACAACAGAAACATGGAGTTTAACCACTTCCTCACAGACTAAAGGAAATTTATTCAACTCATGCTTTATTTTGAGAAGCAAACACTCAGCATGTCCCAGAGCAAGAGGAGAAAGACACTGCAAGAGAGACATTGAGGTCCTGGAGCGGGGCCAGAGAAGGGCACCGGAGCTGGAGCAGGGCCTGGAGCACAAGTGGGATGGGGAAGGGCTGAGGGACCTGGGGGGTTTAGTGTGGAGAAGAGAAGGCTCAGGGGGGACCTGACCGCCCTCTGAAAC